GCGCGAAGTATCGATAGGATATTATAATATAGTTTTTTCTTCGCTTAGGTAAGGCATGATCTTTATTCTTTAAATGACTAGTTATGACATACTCTAAAAGCTGACAAAACAGTTTGATTTAATGAATGTAAGGACTGACAGGTGGCTAACGCATTATTTTATGACTGTTTTGTACCTGTACCGCATAGCAGAGTATTTAAAGTCTATAATCCGCTAATGAAATTGACGTCAGTGCTAATAAATGCTTTGAAAATAACTAATTATGGCTATAATCTCTTTTAAGTAATTCATTCCTTAACTTTCATAATGATACCGTAGTTGGAATTTCTTAATGTTATTTGTTAATAATATTATAATTGATGTTTTAATTTCCGTTGTATAGGCTAGTAACAAATTGTTTTAATTTGTTTGAAGTCTAAGCTGTAAAGTAATTCCTTTCTAATCTCTTCGTAATATGCTGTACTTCAGCAAATTACTTTGAATTTAAAATTAGTGTCAACATAGATAGATGGATTAATTTTGAAACTAAAGTACATTTTAAAACATTTGAGTACTTATACGTTACACCAGCAAACAGTGCAATGAAATAATAGAAATAAAATTAACGATCTTCCACATCATGCTGTAATTTTTGATTCCGAATTTCGTAGCAGACAGCTTAGTCTACAATTAAAGCTACGTAAATATTGTAATGAAGTGACAGAAATAAAAATGATGACCTTCATCATTATACTATAACTTTATATTTAGAGTTTCCCAACAGATAATTCAGTCAAGCGTTGAACTATCGAAGCTATAAATGATATTATAATTAACTTAAGTATACACAATAAATGATTAAATATAGCTGTTAATTTAATTTTTCTGTAGTAATGCCAATAGGATTCATATAGTACAAATTATCACTTACTGCCCATATTAAAGTTTCTTATTATTCATACAGTATAATACTCTATTTCAGCGACTAGTTTGCTTAAATGATGGACAGTATGGAAAAGATTGATTGAATTACCATTCATCGGGGTAGTTAGGCTAAAGTATATAGTGACGGAGTCTACTGTAAATAGTATATGCTGCTATGTCAATATCCATTTTGTGTATTAATTCTATTCTCTCAATAAGATTGAGTATTCAGCTCTGGTAGTTTCTTTGCGTACTGTACTCTTAATCAAATGAGATTTAAATCAGTAGAGCTTCATTTAATTTCAATACTATATTCTATATAACTTTTATCCCATTAGTGGCAAATCCTATCAGTAACAGTAATAAAATGGGTCATAAATAGTTAAGCTACTGTTTTAAACTACCATGGTTTAGGTATGCTTCAGGTCCAGCTGCTAAAAAGGTAAATAGAAACCTACCATCTACTTGTTCATTTCTTGATTGGGACGGTAGTGCTATCGAAGACCTAATCGAGGACTGAGATTAGCTAAGCAACAGTATTTACCTAATGGTAGTAAGGCACGCTTAATTCTAACTAATTACAGTCTATAACGCTAAAAATTGCAGCTGGTTGCGATTAGTGACTGTAGAAGCTTCTAGGAATATTAACTTTCAGATATGGAAAGTAGAGTCGATGGATCGATAGATATTATTTCGATGAAATTGATTCAGTGGCCTATATTATGCCTACATAATTATTCAATGATACACATAATCATAATGGAATTCAGTAGCGATAGCCATATAATCACAATATTAATGTGAAATATTCTAATAGCAAGATTATTGGTACATGTAAAAAAGAGTCGATATACAGTACTGTATATAAAAGTACATGCGCCTAGTATACATAATAATAATTGTTAACAATTCTCGACGATACTACGTCAGAAGCAATGCACTAAGTATTATTATCCACCTTGATCAAGCGCAATACTAAACAGCATAAGAAATAATGAACGATCATGCATGAGTAAGCACTCCCTTCTTCTATAAACAGTCTAAACAAGATACGAAAGTTTTTAATTTTCATGAGCGTGTTCTAATAGTTTAAAATGCGAGAATACAGATTACTTTAAATCATATTCGAATTCTTGCATCTAACGCTTAGATGGACACCATGATCTTGCCTTACTTTCGGCTCTACAAATTATACGCGTATACGCATAACTAGAACTTGCACTTTGATGTGCATAACTAATGAAAGGTAAATTTACAAAGCGTAGTATGGCCGACCGTATGGATTTGTATCAGTTGTCATTTTGACTTTTTGTCTCATTTCACCACTTTAATATTTACTTCATACATTGATTATGTATTACTAGTATTGGAGCTATTCTTTTACTACATCATCTTGTGCCTTGACTAGCAGATTTCGCGCTTGCGATACCTTCAGGAATGGCTTTACCATTTCTTCTTGCTAGTTATTTAGCTATAATTGCATATCAGTATGCTAACGAACGCTTCTACTGAAGTGTATATTTTAATTGGCCTTTTGCCGTAATAGCCATCAATATTTACAGAAGTTACTATATTAATTTCTTTGGATTATGCCAATTTTTGATGCGATATCAACGTTAGTTTATTTTCTACGTATATTTGCCTGTCCTTAAGAACCCAAACCTATACGAGTCTATAAAGTGCTAGACTTCATTAAATACGATCGGATAAGCAATTTAAAACGTTTATCAGTGATACCGGTCCATGGATGGAATCCTGATCGGTTGTTGGTTTACTATGATCTCGGCGTAGCGCATTCTACGGATCAACAGTCTATCGATAACGGTATTGCAATCCTGACTAGCAAATAAATTTCTGTAGGTATCGGATACCGTAACCGAGATTCTTTTGCTTGCCGATTTTCTGTCGAGATTTCTAAATTAGTACAGTAGAACCTGAGTCATTCGACTCAATTCCTACTCAGTACATACGCGTATTGCATTAAGTAATGGCAGATGAATTATCAAGGACTTGAGAAAATATACTCGTATAGCAGGGTCAAAGATATTATATTCATGCGTTATTAGAATAATCGAAGCTATTAGTGGGTAATCCAGAAGCGATAGCTATAGCCCAAGTAGATCGCCATCATTGAAGTGATTCTATAAGGCTTAGGGTTAGGGTAAGGTAATTCTGTTTACAAAAATGGTAATCCGCGTATTAATTATGACTAGCGGGATTGATATTATCGTTGCAAGCAATATATTATTTGTAATGTGCAATTTGGTGTGCGAAAACCGAGCCTTATATACGTATATCTATATATACAGTATACTTTATCCACAGCTGGGTGTGCGGCTTCAGCTAGTAATAGATAAATGTCTTATTCGAATATCTTAATCCATTGTCGTCTACGTGATGAAAGATGAAATGAACATTTTCCGTTGGATTTTAGCCTTTTCTATTATTTCGTTGATAGATTATGTAGCCAAAATACGACGTTATACGGGTATATTATAATTAAAAGATATCGCAATGTATGCTTTTGCCTCATGTTGCAACTCGTATCTTTTTTACCTCCTACCGTATCTATTTTAGTCGTTATCTAGTAGCAACGATTATGGTTATTAACAGAAGTCACTGTATCGATTTTTGGGGATTTTACCAATTTTGTGGCGATATCAACGCTATTTTAGTCATAATTTTAGACGTATTTTACCTGTATTCAATAAACGTCTTATTTGAGCATCATGATCTATCGTCTTTTTTCAACCAGTTCTATTTACTACGCGTAAGCTTGGTATTCAAGCGTTTAGGGTTAGCTATGTCGAGTAGAATTACTAAGTAGAGTGCAGGAGGTCCAACAGTACAAGGGAAATAGAGTAGAAGGAAGGAGAGTTCGCTTAATCAACTATACGTATATTGAAGGAGGAATGTCTACAATCTCTTTTGACATTATATTTTAGTCATAATTTTAGACGCATTTTACCTGTATTCAATAAACGTCTTATTTGAGCATCATGATCTATCGTCTTTTTTCAACCAGTTCTATTTACTACGCTTAAGCTTGGTATTCAAGCGTTTAGGGTTAGCTATGTCGAGTAGAATTACTAAGTAGAGTGCATGAGGTCCAACAGTACAAAGGAAATACAGTAAAAGGAAGGAGAGTTCGCCTAGTCAACTATACGTATATCAAAGAAGGAATGTCTACAATCTCTCTTGATATTATATTATAGGAGGCAATGCAGTGCAGTACATTTATATTAAAAGTCGCATTTTAAAGTGCCACATCATTTTGAAGGGGATTTACTTTTAAAAGCATGCAATACTTTTATATACTATTATTGCTGACCTAGTCCGTCGGTCTGGTCCGGGTGTATGGACTGTAACACCTAAGACGAGTCCGGTAGTCCATGCCTCTGTCTCGTGTTTAGAGCGATCTCTCCGATCTCTCATCTCTACCCGGTGTCTCGGGGAATTGGTTCCGGTAGAGGAATGACTGGGCAATCAACCAACTTGATAGCCACTTCAGAGCGTAGCCGTAAACACTACAGTACAGTGCACGATTTTAGATGAACAGAATAGCTAAAATAAGCACCGAAATAGTCAGCTAGCCTGTTCTAGGGCAACGAATGGCGTTGGCAGTTCTTCTCTCTTTCTTGTAGTACTGTCGTCCAGCCGTCCTGGCCCAATGCGCATCACTGTACTCTCTCGACTCAGTGTCAAGCAGTTTGACGTGAGCAGTCAAGTCACCCTACCCCGTTCACCCACTACTGTTTACGTCATACCCTAAAATAGAATATGATCGCAGCAACAGTCACTCAGTATATAGCCAACCTTTACAGTGTACAGTGTACAGTACGTCGATACAACTGCAAAAATACTGTGCACTCAGTACCGTCAAGACGGTACGGTACAGTTCCAGTATGGCGCTGTAGGGAGGACCCAACTGGCAACCAGAGTCCTGCTATAAATTGTCGATGTGAAGAAAAAAACATTGTGTGATCATAGCCATCTCGAGCATTTGCTCCATCAACTACCAAACATTGCCTTCAATTTCTTCTATTGACAGCTGAAAGCGTCTAAATTCTTCCCTTCCATTACTCCTCCAAGCAAAAATGAATCGCCTTTTCGGTCGTGCAAAGCCAAAAGAGCCCCCGCCAAATATGACGGATTGTATCGCTAATGTAAGGACGACAAGGCTTAGCAAATGCAGACATGGACAGTACTTGAGTTGTTGATTTGACATTGATTGAGAAATAGACGTCAAGATAAAGTAGAATGTTTTGAATGCAATGCTCTTGAAATCAAGTGATAGTTTACAGTTAGAATGAACAGAAATGTAGCAATGGATACACTTAGTAACTGCACATATCAGTAACGATCGACTTGATGCTAGATATTGGATCCAAAATGGACTGACTATACGATACAGTTTTGTATGATGGTTGTATCTTGCTATAATGAACGCCATCATGGTATTTTCCGTCGTTTTACCGAATGGATTGTTTGTGATAATGATAATCGTTTTGTATAATCAAATATACAGTACTTTAGCTTACTAGTTTGAAGGTATATTGGTCTTTGTAACGCTGATTTGTGATAAAAAATAGTTTTTCAAGTTTTCCATCTATCCCTCTCCTCTTGCCATACAGTACTTACTATACTTACGAAAGAATGCCATGACTGGTTGATGTTGTTGGTCAAGTACATTCATATACATTGCTGTTATTCACCATCATTATAGGTCGACGGGCGAAGTGAATCAATTGAAAAGAAAATACAAAAGTTAGACCTTGAACTACTTAAATATCGCAATCAAATGAAAAAAATGAGAGAAGGCTCTGCCAAGGTAAGTAATGATTAAATCAAGTCCAATACTGTATCTTGTCGGCTGCTTATCTTTGACAAATGCTAACGGATTCTATTCTTGACAATACTAGAATATGGTTAAACAGAAGGCCTTGAGAATACTCAAACAGAAGAAAATGTTAGTTCTTAGCTTATACAAACCATGGCTACTATTATATGTCGAAAACACACTTAAAATTAAAATTGCTTCGTCTTCTTGCTGATTGTCGCCTACCGTACAAAATTAGTATCGTAATCTGTGGCTTCATTTTTAATTAAATACTTATTCAGGTATGAACAGCAGCGGGATCAGCTTATGCAGCAATCCTTTAATTTAGAACAAGCTAATTTTGCTACACAGACTTTAAAAGATACCAAAACCACGGTTAGTATGTCCATGTAATTGCACAGTCGGTTGGCTAGTCCATACGCATAATCGTTTATATCAATTTCGTGCCCTAGACTTGATTAAAATTAGTCTATCATCATTTGCAATGACTGTGCAGTACATGTAGCATATCTCTCGATTTTTTTCCTTTAGCGAATGGTGTTTCACTACATATTATTCATTGGTTATATAGGTTGACGCTATGAAATTGGGTGTGAAAGAAATGAAAAAAGAATATAAAAAAGTGAACATCGATCAAATTGAGGTATAAAATAAGATGACTTTATCATTTATAGCTTGTTGCTTACTGTTACCAGAGTTTGAAATACGGTAATCATTTTATTAATAATAATATAGGACTTACAGGACGATATGTCTGACATGATGGAACAAGCAAATGAAATACAAGAATCGCTAAGCAGAACTTATGGAATGCCAGATGATTTGGACGAGGCCGATTTGGATGCTGGTATGTTTCGTAGCTAAATTATTTGTGAGACTTTTGCATCTTTCACTTCTAGCATGGAAGCTTAATCTCCATTCCTAATCCCCTTAAGTCTACATCCTGCCGTCGATTATTGGTTTTGTACTGCTTATTTAAACTGCATGTACAGACGCGCAGATATTACCCTATTGTTAATACCTTATTGTGAACTCCAAATGTTGATACTTACACATTATATTCCATTAATTAATATCAGTTGCTTACCGTTAATGGCCAATTGCTATGAATATTTACTGTACAATGTATTAATCTTACATGTACTCGTATATACAGAATTAGATGCGCTAGGTGACGACTTGGCTTTCGATGAAGATACGTCATACTTGGATGATGCCGCAAGTACACCGGCTGTTCCTAGTACAAATCCCGGTGAAAATGAAGCGGAAAAATCAGCGGTATAGTGGCTATCTTACTTTTAAAATAATTGAATAATTAATGATCCATTGAAGTGTAAAAGTTTTTGTAAGAAAGAGTTACAAGTCCTAAAATTATAGTTGTGATCAACGCTTTATGTACCGTATATTTATTAATGGACGAAAAATTATATCTTATCAAATTTAGGAAGGAATTGCTGTTGATGAATTCGGCTTGCCAAAGTTACAAACAGGATAATGGATTAATGTTACTCGTAAAATTATGTTTAACCAATGTTCTTGACTATTGTAAAAACGACTCTTATGATGCCTTCAAAAAGGGCTTTTACGATTTCTTCTTGTTGACTATTTAGCTGTAATTTCATATCAGTATGCTAAGACTTTTAACTAAAGTATCTATTTTAGTTGACATCTTGTTGCAGCGGCCGTAAATATTAACTGAAGCTACTGTATTGATTTCTTTGGGATTATGCGATATTTTGTGGTGATATCAACGTTAGTTTACTTGTACTTATTTTTGCCTGCATTAGATAAATGTCTTATTCGAATATCTTAATCTATTTTTGTCTACGTCATAAAAGATGATTACTTAGCTAAATACGACGTTATACTGTATTATTATTATTAAAAGATATCGTAATCCATGCTTTCGTTTCATGTTCTAATATACTTGTACCTTTACTGCCTTACTAGTAGCTGTAATCTTCAATGATTACTTGTAATTTAAAATCATGTGCACGAACAGTAGTATTGCTGTATCTTTACAAATGTACTTAAGGTTGAAGATCACTATAATGGGAATGCTGTCGTTTTTTTTGCATGAAATATTCACTTGGACAGCGTAACGCAAATACTGTACATAACGTGATTATATGAATAGTGTTGTGATTGCGTATGGGCACTTAACCAGTTGTGATACGTTTCTTTAGCAATTCCTTAAACATATGATACACATAATAGGATTAAAAATTAGACTTCATTCTAGCTTTTTTATGCTCTGAAATGAATGAAATTATAATCATATAACAAAAATTATCTTTTGAGTCAGGTTTGACCGATAAAAACAAATTATTATTTCAGAGTCTTTAGGTGTTATTTAACACCGATGTAGCATAGCTTAATCCTACAGGATCAAGGTTGACGTACTACTGATATTGGAAAAAGTCGAAAGAAAGAAAAAGATTCTGAACGAATCTTACACAGAATTATGGATAGTTAGATCAGTTGATGAACAGTATATTGCAGTAAATGCATAACATATATATATGTATATGCATATATACAATAGCACATAGACCGGCTGTTTAACCGTTGTATATTACATAAAAAATGGAATCTTTAGATTTATCAAATCCTAATTCGATGACATTTCGTAACAGCTCAGTTAGTACTCGAGATTATAAGATTACATAAGATATCATTACGGAAAGAAAGAAACATTTGCATAGAAAATGTTATTATGTAGATACGTTTGTGACTCTAAGCCTAACAATTTCATTATTAAGAAACTAACTTTTTTTGACTGATGTTGAACTAGTAAGGTAAACAAAAGTAGATACTTTCATATTAAACCTATTTTCCTATACTGTCATGCTAATACAATAAGTAACCAATGCGATTTTTAAGTTGTAAAGTTTCATATTGTAAAAATATTGCTAATAAAGTCAAATAGAAATAAATTGTAGGCTTAATACAGTAAAAATAAAATGCACTGTATGCTAAGCCTGTTATGCACACTATTTACATCAATGGAAAAATTTCCTATGTAATACACGAATGACAAAAACAACAATTTTTATAGTACAAAATTTTAATAGTCCTCTTTTGATCTACTTTCAGCTTAATGAGTTCTTTGAAGATAGTCGGCCATTAATTTCATTGCCGGCATAACGATCATCATTCACTATATCTACTGAGCATTAAAAAGTGGAAGATACATTTTATTGTTGTCGTTGTAAGATTACGTAATCTTAGCGTTAATATTGGAAATGCTAATGTGCTATCGACATTTCGGACTTTGCAAAAATTTGGTTAAAATAAATGCAGACTAACATGTATGGAGACGTAAATATGTGGTGAAAGAAGATATATATATAGTAATATTTACTTACCGATATGAATATCATCTTGTTCATTATTTAACCTATAGTAATGGAGGACAACCCGTCAGTGCTCAAGACTGCTACGTTGTACAACATTACAGCTTCAGTCACAACGCTCCCAAGACATAAACAGCAATCATACTCAATCTTACCTTCCATTCATATCACTGGAACTCATTACCATTGAGCTACTGCTACTACTCATACCTGTCGATCCTAGTACATTAAGGTCATGATGGATCACATTTTAGAATGACACAAACAGCATTATCTGAAGCCTATGACTAGTTTAAGCTAATTTTGGGTGGTTAACATATGATTGTATTGAGAACGTACCAAAAACTTTATCTCTTACACTTGACCGCTGTTCTTCAGTATGTTGTGGACATCTCAATGTCCTAAAATAACAAATATTAAAAAGTAACGAGTCGCTGTAATGATAATATCCCTTAATCTTCGCACTACAACAAAGGCGCTCTATATAAGAGCAGATGACTTACTTAATACAGATACGGCCTGTATGTTCAGAAATTACACCACAATACTACAACATTTTAAGATTGAATAGGATTAGAATTACTGGTACCAGTTTTTATAACAATATTTCACATAACAGTCCGCCGATGACTGGTTACCATGAAAAAGTAAGCTGACTTGGGAACTAATAGTGTCGACTATCTTTATACCTTGTTTAAAAATTCTTCTCGGTCAACTAAAATAAAATCAGCAATATTTGTACATATTAAATTAAAACGAACTTGAAATTTTTGATGTTACTTAGATATTATTAATTAGATAAAGAGATAGTCAAGTTAGATACCTATGGACATAGCAGAGTAACTGTCCAGACTAAGTTGTTTCTATGAAACGATATAATTTCAAGTTTATTAATATAATATCGATTGTCTGCTGTGAGATTATAACACTGTCCTTTAATTATACAGTAATGATGTAAAGCCAAAGCAGACCTTGTCTTTTTCTACTTCAAAATTGCCATCTTTAATGACTTTCTTAACGTTACTTAAATTTCCTTTATTTTTGCTAGGTTTATTCTTATTACTGGAGCGTCCTGATTTATCTCGCCGTAATCGCTTAGCTTTTCGCTCTTTGGCGGCTTTCCAGTCTGTATCCCCATCGTCATTGTCACTGTAATCGCATTTATCTTCTGAGTAATCATTCAACCTACAGAGTTAAAAGTTATCAAAATAGACAATCCAATTAATTATACGTGATATGAAAATGATATGCTAAAAGTGTAGTTTCGTTCGCGACAATCGAACAATGAATTATACAATCATAAAGAAAGTCAATTTTTGTACTTTTTGCTGGCAATTCTTCTACTAATTCTGCCCATTCCCAAACATTTTTCTAGATGTGGGGCAAATCGCGAGGCAGTAATTGTTCTTTGGCATTCCGGACAACTAACTTCCAAGGATTTATTTCTAGCACCTTCCGTGATTTCACTGAATATGTCACCTCGAACAGAATCACTGATTTCTGTTAAAGAAATCAAGCATTATCACTCATTAACCATCCATGTCTTAATTTTAAGTATTTCACTGAGCTATACCGAGGCATTATATTGTAATCAGTAAAAGACGTAAATAAACCGAAATAATTTTCAATATTCGAATGAAGGTATAAAATTAATATTTAGAAGATTCTAGTAAATTACTGTAGAAATATTATTTTGTATCCAATTGCTTCTAGTAACTAATTTCATTTCCGTAAAATACTTACCGTCATCTTTGCTTATTGGCATGCAGTCTAAAATATTGAAATAGCCAAGTTGTACTGATCTATCAACATCGTAGCAGGTGCCCAAAGTTATTTCATCCACCATGGTTTCATAAAAGTACTGACTTAACTTTTCCGCCTAGTTAGGGTATGCATATATACGTTAGTATATTGCTAAGCTTAAAATATCTACACTAGAATTAGCGGTTAATGTGTGTTATTAAGTTGAAGAGCTGCTGGGTTGCGGCTATTTTCAACTTAATAGTAAAATCTATCTTTCTTAGCATGGTCAGGTATATTTATAACATTGGCGATTGTGAGTAGAATAAACAAGCATCTTTTGTATTAAGGACGGATTAACTGCTATTTCCTTTGATAAATATTGATTAGTTAGCATGATTAATTGTAGTCATAAAACCTAATATCCTAAATCTATATCCACTGATAGAGAAGGGTATTTACAGTAAGTGATGCTGTCAAGAAAGATAACGCATGCAATATTTCATCTTTGCAGTGTATAAGATTTCATTCTTAATGTAGAAAAAGTAATTTATACGTTATTTTGGATTATTGGCATTACACAGAATTGTAAGAATGATAGGCAATTTCATAACAGTGCAATTTGTGTGGCAGCCAGTAACTTTTGCTAAAGGTACATTCGCAAAGGCCGTCATGGTGAGTCGTATCTGTGATTGGCTACTGCAAGGCCATGTAAAAGAAAGCTGGCGATGAGCTAGCCAACTCATCCACAGACTAACTTGGCAATGCGATGTAACAACTTCAGAACGAAGTAATAATTAATATTACGATATAGGGTACTAGCATTCATTTCACGATAATGCAATCACTTTATACAAATTAATTATTCAATTGATTTACAAGCAGACGTTGAAAAATATCAGTTACGCTAGTATGTAATTGACCATACGGCAGAAATTATGCATATTGCCCATGGCAGGAATGATATTACAGTATCTAGCATACCGTCAATATCAGATCATTTACTAAATATAGTTGATGGCAATGAATTTACTTTAGCCGGTAAACAATCTCAGTCCTTGATTTCTATTAGCACAGTTTGGTTACCTGGTCACCGGTCATATTTCGTAGCTCATTATGATCGTTACACCTTGATGAGGCTTGTTGACTGCTATCTAGCCTATGAATTAAAATCAATTAGGAAGTAAAATTGTTAGTGTGGAATAAAGGATAATTTTACTGTTGAGAAAATTGAATGTAAAAAAACTGCAACATGATATTCCATTCTAGAAATGAAACTAGCATTTGATGATTATGAATCCAGTGAGAAAGCTAGCAATCAAGCATGGGAAAAGGAGTTTATTGGCTTACCCTACGTATCGCCTGCTACTCATATCAAGATGATCAAATTCAAATTCAATTGTAACACGCTAGTTCATAAAAATAGAGTAAAATTGTTTTTGCAAGGGGCAATGGAGCGTTTCTACAATTCCTCTATCGAATGACATCAGTCATTGCAGGCATCCAACGGCATCAAATGTGTTACCGTGCAAACTAACATATTGGCTGATTGAGTATTCTAACGCTAGGAGATGCATAGCCGTCATTTGTCCAAGTGTAAACTGGATACAATCGCAAATGCCTGGATGGTATCCTTTACGATAGGCATTTTTGTAGTTGTGATTCATCTTTCAAGGCGCGTATGATGAGCCGATATTACCATGGTAATTGTTATTGAGTACTTGGGCAAGAAGTTGAACTATTGTTTGGAGTGTGTATTATGCGCGAAATGATCCGGCAGTCCTACTGTTATTGTAATGAATAGCAGTATCGTGCCTAACTGATTTCATCAGTAGAAAGAATGGTAAGACAATCTAGTCTATCATTGAACGATAGTCTTGGTCATAATGATTGGTGATGTAGGCAAGATGAAAATCAATGGATTGTTGACCCCAAACCCACCCATCTAGGCTAACAACCTGCTGGTACTAGGCTTGCATGTAGCGTTGTTTGAAAGTCGACTTGATTGTTGATTCAGTTACTAACGAAACGTTTGAAATATTGTGGTTGAATGCGTGCTATTCTATAAGCTAGAAGGAAAAGTAGCTGGTGATTGATCCTTTTTTCAAAAGCAATGCAAATCGCCTAGTTGAAATGGTATGTTATGACCACCGTCTCAAGCCATGCAAGATTGCATACCATGATGAAAGGACGCAATCCATTTCCATCGTCTGTAGCACTATCGATCAACTTGTTGGGCCATTTCAATGACTAAGCAGTGGGATAACAACGCTCTGCCTTATTTTATCCACCACATTGAAGTGAATGAATTGGATGATTGAATATAACCTACGTATGCCATTGATATGATAGCAGCATATCAACCACTGTCATTTCTTCTCGTCATAGACGGTAATGGTCAAGCAGTGATCGTTTAATCAATGAAATGGTTAAAATGTTTTGAGCCTATGGATAAAAAGTGACCACTTACCTAAGTGGATACGAATCTTCTGCCATAATTTTCAATGGAACGAATAATTACATTTTGTTCAAAGAGATTTCACGATAGCTGAAGAATTCGACAGTAGTTGCAATCACTGCTATCCAATTGGAATGCCAATGGCCACTGAAATTCCAGTCCAATGGCGGATTGAGCAAAGGACTGCTGGAATCCAAATTGAAGCAACCGTCAAGACGTGCTACCGACGTATGACGCCACTACCACTGACACCACCAGTGTGTCGTACCAGTCTTGACTTCTCTTGTGCGACTGTGCAAATCTACCGCCTAATCTCGGTATCAAGCTGACGAGTTCTTACTCGTATCAATCAATCATGACTGACTCTGCGGGTCGAGTCTACCGTCAAAAATAATATCAAGCATTACAAGGTGAATGAGTTTGAAGTGTTGATGGTAACGTGGGCTAGTTGTGCGCACGAGCACACTTCATGCTTGCAGTTTGGAATGCTACAGTACAGTACAGTACTGTCCGCAGCCAAAGTTCTGTACAGTACTACAGTACATGGACTGTACACTGTAAGCAAGGCTACGGTACAGACTTGTACTGTACAAGGTAAAGACCGTAAAGGAACGTGGGCCAGTTGTGCGCACGAGCACACTGCACGCCTGCAGTTTGGTATGTTACAGGGCTTACAGCATACAGTACTGTAGTTAGACCAGACCTGTATTACAGTACTGTACAGTACAGTGTACAGTACAGTAGCCAAAGTCCTGTACAGTACTGTACTACAGTAGATGGACTGTACACGGTAAGCAAGACTACAGTACAGTACTGTACATCACACAGGGTAAAGTAACGTGAGCCAGTTGTGGGCACGAGTACACTTCACGCCTGCAGTTTGGTATGCTACAGTAGCCAAAGTCCTGTACTAGAGTACATGTACTGTACAGTACTGTACTGTACTGTACACTGTAAGCAAGACTACTGTACTGTACTGTACTGTACTGTACACAGGGTAAAGTACTGTAGGCGAATTGTACTGTACACTGTACAGCAGTTTGGAATGCTACAGTACAGTACTGTCCGCAGCCAAAGTTCTGTACAGTACTACAGTACATGGACTGTACAGTACAGTACAGTACACTGTAAGCAAGGCTACGGTACAGTACAGACTTGTACTGTACTGTACAGTATAAGGTAAAGACCGTAAAGGAACGTGGGCCAGTTGTGCGCACGAGCACACTGCACGCCTGCAGTTTGGTATGTTACAGGGCTTACAGGATACAGTACTGTAGTTAGACCAGACCTGTATTACAGTACTATACAGTACAGTACAGTGTACAGTACAGTAGCCAAAATCCTGTACTGGACTACAGTAGATGGACTGTACACGGTAAGCAAGACTACAGTACAGCACACAGGGTAAAGTAACGTGAGCCAGTTGTGGGCACGAGCACACTTCACGCCTGCAGTTTGGTATGCTACAGTAGCCAAAGTCCTGTACTAGAGTACATGTATTGTACAGTACTGTACGTACACTGTAAGCAAGACTACAGTACCGTACTGTACTGTACTGTACAGTACTGTACACAGGGTAAAGTACTGTAGGCGAATTGTACTGTACACTGTACAGCAGGCATTGTACCGCACGACCAAACCGTACAAGCGTCGCATACAAATCGCATGACACTAGGCTATGGTGTCACCTGTGGCCATTCACAATGCTACAGTGTGACTCGTGACAATGGTGAGCCGTTGTGAACCCCATAACCCCCAAGGGCGCGGCTGCAGGTGTTGTCCATAGAAACCTGCTGGCTAAACGTGCAAAGTGGCAGAGAAATCAGTCACTTGAATGCAGTAGCGATTGCTATCCAACCACACAGCCAGTTGCTTCCTTCATTAATTAAGCAAGGTATCCAAGCAATCTTCTACCAAGTCTATTGGAAGCTTGATCGCATAGCACCCAAAGCTTTAATCTTCTCCAATTTTGATTACAATCATAATAACTTATTCAGACCGTTAAGAATAGATAAATATGAGTCATGAAGATAATGGTCATAAAATTTATCCACCTCGCAGAAAGCCTGGCAGCAAGAGAGCCTTTCCAAAGCGAAGGTATACTACAAGTAGCATCAAGGGATAGCGTTATACCATTGCAACAATAGACTAGAATGATAGTGTTAATGACAACAGCTGATCAAGTCATTACAACGTGTACCTTCAGGGATATTATTGTATGAAAAACGTGTTGTTGACATTGATATTATTGACATTTGGACATTTCCCTAATTCAAATGGTTGTGTAATATAAATTAATACTTTTACTTGTGTATGATTCAATCAACCGTGCTTAGCTTGTATCTCCATTGTAAGCTAGGTAGCTACTTGTTTAATTATACTATATTGAAGTCAATGAGAATTTGCTATAGCAGTATCTTGATATAGAGCTATCATCAATTCTAATATCACCTAGACAAGACGAATTGAAATGGAACGGTTGGGGTTATAAAGATTCCGTTTTTCACATCAATAAAGATGACTGTGTGCAATATTCAGGAGATAGGTTAGCAATAGCAATTCAACTGATTTTACATTTCCTACCGTAAGCTCTTTCTAGCAAGCAGCTTTATCCACGTAACGATTCTAGTCATCACCATAGTATACTGCTTTTGTTATCTCAAAGAGTAACCTTTCATCTCAATAGGTATAGCATTAGCGGTCATGAATTTCCTGAATTAAGAAAATGGATGGTCGAACGCTGCGGTGTTAGTCTGGATGATAAAACCTTTTCTCAGGTATAATACTCTGATAATAGAGTGTCATGCATTTTTATCTTCTATTTTGACAAGTGTAGCGTTGAGGCACCATGCTATTGCAACAAAGTATGTGCAAGTAATGTTTATTGTTGAGTTATTGAATAAGTGGATAACTGTTTTACAGTGTAGGTAGCAATTACCGTACAGTCAAGAACTGTTATTATTAGTAAGGGATCAATCATACGCGTATACAATCGTAAATAGGTCGTCTCTTGCTGAATAATTTATGTATTATAATTTTTCACTAGAATGTGCCCAAAGCAGTTGATTTGCCCGCAATAATTTCAAATGACGCTTTTGTACGTGATTTGAGTACAACTGGTGTCGCAGTATCCATGGATGCTGAAGACAGGTTATTTCGAGCGCATGGTAAATCTGGCAATGAATACCACTATATTGGATAGTACAATATCCCTGTTTCTAATCAACCTATTCATGGCGGTTTATTTCAACTTCGCATAGTAATTTTCGTATCGTTCTTTTTAAGGACATACATTGGCTGAACTGTATGATTTGAGGCATGGTAAATTTAAGCGAATCCCAGATATAGTGGCATGGCCCGGTAAGTCTCTACGCATTCTCAATCACTACATCAATAATATTACTATCTTATATTCACACTCATACTTTGATAAAAAATTGCTTAGCTTCAATGGTGTATACATCACAAATCACAATTAAAATCCAGGTTCATTTCAATTTTAAATCCTAGAAAATCACGATCATGTTGTAAAAATTGTTCAACTAGCATCGAAGCATGATGTCTGCATCATACCTTTTGGAGGTAATTATAATCAAGATTACACCATTGAACAGACATAATTTGTAACTGCGGTAAAAGATGAAATACTTTTATACTTATACTTTTGTTCGTTTTATATAATTATCAAGATATGGCAACTTTTATTTTTTCAAATTGAATGTGACCGTTAATCTTTGTAAGATATAATTGATCCAAATTGTGTAATGCAGGGGGCACTACTGTAAGTGGAGCTTTGCTATGTCCAGAGAATGAAAATAGAATGATCTTGTCCTTAGATACATCTGAAATGGTATGCAAGATTTAAATAGGTGCTTCATTTTCATTAACTAGAATTTACTATTAACAGTTAAGCAATACTTGATACTTAAAATTAGGATCGCATATTATGGGTCGATCCAGAAAACTTTCTCGCTCATGTTGAATGTGGTATAATTGGCCAAGACTTGGAGCAACAGGTTACATCGCTTTACACTTCACCTCAATGATATCATTAAAGTGTTTTACTGAATTATAATTTATGAATTAGTACATGAGATGGATGACCATTAAACCAATATAAGGCTTTTATTAAAGGTGTAATTAAAGGTCATTATTCTATTTTGTGCTTTCTTAATTGTAAAAAAATTAGCTAGCTGAATACGGTTTTTGTACTGGACATGAACCGGATTCAATGGAATTTAGCAGCTTGGGCGGCTGGGTTGCCACTAGATCTTCTGGGATGAAAAAGAATAAATACGGCAATATCGAAGATATGGTAACGTTGCAATTGTATTTCACTTACAACAGAAAACTATTAATGTATCGGGGTCGATAATGAATTATTTACTTCCGCTTTTAGTTGATAAGGGTTAGAATGGTTACAGCTAAAGGTACCATCGAAAAGTCCTGTCAGGTTAGTAGGAGGATATCAGGTGGAAATAGTCATGAATTCTTTTCGATAATTTGTCAATTATTTTACTTTACGTAATCTCGATCATAACCACTATGCAACGACTAGGTTCCTCGTATGTCGACTGGCCCAGATATTCATCATTTCATATTAGGCTCAGAAGGTACTGTTATAATTTAATTTTTAATATTACATTTAAGTTAATAGACTTAATACAAAAAATATTTACATATGATAATATTCTATTCTGATTTGAAAATGTAAATAACACCTCTTATGATTAGGAACGCTTGGAGTTATAACCGAAGTAACTTTAAAGATTTCGCCTTTGCCAAAGTGTAAAAGATATGGCTCTATTGTTTTTCCAAAGTTTGAAAACGGAGTTGCATTTTTAAAAGAAATTGCTGCAAAAGTAGGAATAGCTGATCTGCTAATACTCTCATATAGTAACACTGTTGCATCTTTTTCTAACTATAACTTACGAAATATTATAGCGTATTGCTCCTGCATCTATCCGTTTATTGGATAATGATCAGTTTCAATTTGGTAATTATAATGCTTCCTTTCATGCTTTATTCTATCTGCAAGTATTCTATGAAGTAATATCATTCGCTAATGAGATCGATTTGATTTCTATTAGGTCGAAACTTGAGACCTCCTAAGACTTCTATCTTTGCAAGGCTAGCCGATAAGTTGAAGACCTTATATGTTGTTAATGTAAGTATCTTTTCAAAAATTGATAATTTTTCTAGCATGTGATAGCAATAAATCCTAAAATTTTACTGTTATTAACTCGTAGTTTAAAGGCTTTGATCCAAATTCGTTGAGCCTGGTGACTATCGTTTTTGAAGGAACCGAAGAGGTCAAATAAGCTAAAGAATTTTTAACGTACTTTTACTAAGACTATAAGCTATAATATCGCTAATTTTATTTCATAGGAGGTAGCTTTGCAGCAGAAAAACATTTATGCTGTCGCTAGTGATCACGGGTAATACTGACATATATTTTTAAATAGAATGAATGCATGCTATATTTCAAGAATAATGATATATCTAAATGATATTGACATTGATTAATAGTGGCTTAAATGCTGGTGAAGAGAGTGGAAAGGCTGGCTATATGTTAACATTTTCTATTGCCTATCTGCGGGTATATTCATTGTTAATCATTTAATTATTACTAGTGTTAGCGCTCTTTTATTCATCTATTGGCAGAAATGAGTAGATATGTGATATATTATAGTTTATTCAAAAATTGGTTATTACTTAGGATCTGGGATTTGACTATTCTTACATGGCTGAATCGTTTGAGACAACGCTCCCATGGAATAAGTAATAACAAACGATTTGATGATAAGTTCCAACTAGTGATGTGCTCTAAATAGATCATGTCATGCTATTTTGCTATAGGGTTATTGATGCATGTCGCAATGTTAAACATGTACTTCTTCAAAAGTGTAAAGAACATTGTGTTCCATGTGAACCGTTAGCAACATCAAGGTATATATATACGTATATATAGTTTGACTTTATTATGTTGTAACTGATTGGCTTTATTCGTCATTTTGATATCTAAATTTGATGTCATTTCAAATATTAGAGTTACGCAAGTTTACGATACTGGAGCTTGTGTCTACTTTTACTTCGGGTTTCGTTATACAGGTTTAGAACATCCAGTTGAAGTCTATGAGAGCATTGAGGTTTGCGTCAGTTATTGTACAGTTACTACGCTTTATAAATATTCACTGTGAGTATATGGCATTTTAACTGTTGTACTTTTCTTCCTGTATATTATTGCATTACAACAAATTAGCAAGCTGCAAGGGACGAAATTCTTGCTTGTGGTGGTAGTCTTTCGCATCATCATGGAGGTCTGTTGAACCGTAAATAGCACATCATATTCTATAAGGCTGTAAACGATTTTTCTCGGTGTAGACGAAAGCTGCTGGTGTTTTATTGATTTGCATTCTATTTTAATGTAGTTGGTAAGATACGCAAGCAATGGCTACCTCAAACTGTCTCTACGGTTGGACTACAAGCAGTATCTGCTATTAAAAAAGAACTTGACCCTCACAATATATTTGGATGTCAAAATTTGTTTTCAAAACTGTAAAACCTTAGGTTTGTGGACTGACGCTTAAAATTTGTGTTTGGATCAATTAAAAGAGAATTAATACATCAACACTATGACCTCTGATGTAATATTTTCATTGGAAGCTGGAGTAGATTATCTTTACATTGAAATGTAATCCAGGGGTTTTATTATTGTCGAAAACTAATTTGTAAAGTGATAAATCACTAGTTGGAAAAATCTCGTAATAAATAAACCTAATTTCTGGCATAAACTCCATTATGATTACAGAAGCAGAGAGTTTACCAAGCTGTACTACTACATTGTATTATACTTGTGTCTAACGATCCAAAAGTTCGACTAGAGATATATTCGTTATCACTTAAACTTTGACAAATACGAATGTGAAAGTATTTATCAAATTATTATAGAAAAAGCTTGAACCAATGCAAATTCAATTTAGAACAAATATTGTAATTTTTTTCGAATTTACTAGCGCAAGTGGTGCTAATTCGAAGATTTACTTATATTATTGCATTGCGTTACGTTGCTGTAATAACTGGTTAGCATTTGAAAGCTGTAGTATGATTAAGGTGTAGCGATAACGACGACGATTGATTTTAAGTTATCATTTCTAATCCTGCAAGTACTTCAGGCCTGTACATCAACTTTTATAACATGAACACCGTCAATTATAATTCATTGTTGCGGATCTAGGCCAGGGAATGGATTAATTTGAAAATGTTGATAATCTTTAACTTATAAGCAATTCATTTTTCTTATACTCTACATACAGTGTCATTCATAAATTTATATCTGAAAAAAACAACTTGATGCTTTATTTTTAATGTTTACTATATCACGCAATGAAGTTTTTGGTTGCATCAAGACAAATTACCAATTCCAAGTATAGTAATATCCGAACATGCTTCCCACTGACGGAAGTATTGACAGGTCCTGATTTCTTATTACAAGCACAATCATAAAGTATAAGGATCAGTTTAAACATGTAATGTAAGTATATCGCTATTTATACAGTAATTTAATATTGTATTTATCAAACAAGACCCTAATTAGCTAGTCACTAACAAACCATAAACGTAATGACGATGTACGCCTTAATTATAAAATGGCATTATTAGCGGTATCAAATATGTAGCGTACAATATGCGATCAGATATTAATTATGGACGTGATGACTACAACATGGGAAACTTGCCAGCGGATCCGATACACTGCATATCGGAGTCAAAAAGAGGTCGATTAAAATCATTGTATAGTCCATCCAAGTTTCAAGTTTATCCAATTAAGATACTGATTGTGAATGAAAATGATGATGGATGACGTATTTATTTATGTTGTCAGTTATCTTACATTTGAAGATGATTAGAAGTCAATTACAGTATTAAATAGTAGACAAGTAGTCGTAAGGCTAGTCAATAAGTATGTCTTCCTATACATGTTATCTAAAACAACAATTCTTATTCCGCCTAGTCTTTAATAACCTTTCCGGAAACATTATATGGATATTCTATAATAATGTGGTACAGCATTGTAGTTTTTATTAAGTTACATAGAGACGCAGGACTTTTTATTGAAAGTCTGGGGACAATATAATCTTATGGTATTATATACCAGATTACCAAATTGTTTTCTAGCCGGCAGTAACTGAAATCATAGCGATTGATAGTCTAACAGTAAAAGGAGGTGAATTTGAGTATGTATTCTTAATAAATATCATCATACGCATATGCATATGAGTTGAATTAGTTCAAGTAAATCTTTTTAAGTATGTAACAATAACAACCGCTGGCATATAGACTATGTGCAAGGACTACATCCTAGCACATATCATGACTACAATCGCGTTAGATACGCATAGCTGAAAATAAAGATCAATAGGAGAAAAATTGTACAGCCTATGATGTCTAAAGCGTAGACTATTCCGATAGCTATCAATGATTACAAATGAACTATCATTTGCTCAATATCCGTAGAAAAGGTAGCAGAGAAGTAAATGGTAGGTAGAATTGTTTACGATATTGTGAAACGAGCAACATAAGAATATTTTAGATAAACTGAAATTATACATTTACATACAGTATATACAAAAGGGTGAAACAATGTTTGTGGTGCAACAGCACTGATGGATAGATATTTGGAGGCATTTGTAGATTTTGTGGTCTGCACGAGTTATTGCAATTAGAATTTAAAAGGCCAAAGGCAACGCCAACTGTGATGACAACATTGACGAGAATGGCAAGTAGGTGATTCTATGTCGATTTGAATATTACTGATGGATGCAGAAAGACTAGTGGACTTTTGTGTTTGCCGATAATTATAATAAGAGGCAACTGTGTTGGAATCATGCTAGTGGTAAGATAATAGTACCGTAAACGCCGCATTGTACAGTATAGAATTGAGGCGAATTTAATTTTTATGTTATCAGTGTTGAATAAATTGTTGGAGTTCAGGTAAATGTTGCAATGTTATAACTTCTTAAAGCGATGGCATGTTATTTCATGTTGGAGCTTTCTTTGACATGAGTAGCATCCAATTTGAAAGATAGTCATTGTAATTGTTAGCGCCATTGAACGAGTATCAACATTGAATGTACGCGTATCTTCTCAACATGATATGACCATAGTCCAAGATGGAAGTTTTACTGAACTGTAGAATTAGCAATTAAATCAATCTCCAAAGAGCGTACAGGTTCCGGTAGTCCACCACTGGGATTACCATGATGAACTTTAATGCAATGCTTTTTTAAAGCCATAGCCGATCGGTAGGATTTCTTACAGGTACAACGGTAAGCTTTTCTGACGCGAATTTCTTTTTTATGGCCATTTTTAGCATGATATTTCATCCCATTGACATTTTTATAACGCTTATTACAACCAGGGACAGGGCAAGCAAAAGGTTTCTCTAAGCCTTCATCGGTTGCCATCATACTGAGAATAGCATCACTGGAGAATGTTTCATTGGTTGTCCAAGATTCATCGCTGTCACTGCCATCACTAATTAAATCATGATTGATGATACTATTACTGCTGGTTGTTTTGATATGGCTGTTATTGCCACTGGTCGTATTGCTACTGCCACTTGTAGCCGTGTTACTAACACTGGATTTACTGATATGAACCTGTGTTGGTGTTAAAGTAGCGGATGTACTGGTGGTTGTAGCCGTAGTATCGGAAGAGAAAGTTAAGTTGTGATGGCTACCACTTGCTGGACTACTAACATGGCGTCCTTTATCGCTAACTTGGCTACTTTTGTTGGTGTTTTGAGCAGCTAATTGGGCTAATTGCTTGCGTCGTACTTGGCGAGCTGCTTCAGTAAAAAAACGCAAAATATGGCTTAAAGCTAACGCTGGTGGTGATAAATTGTCTAATTTCTCCATTGGAGCAGCATCTTTCTCAACATGGACATCTTCAACATGTTCGATCAAGTCTTCTAAGCAAGTAAAACTTTTACCGCAATTTTTCCATAAACACGAATAAGAATAAAACGCTGCCATGACCATCAACTCATGCAATAGTCATTCAATCATGTACTGCATAAAAAGGAATAAAGGTAACGATTAAATTGGATCCTTTTTTGATCCTAAATCAATCCTTGAAATGGGAGAATCTTGCTGCGGATGATGGCGGCTCTACCAGAATGGACAATCAAGTCAGCGTCAAGTCGACTGTTGTTGACGCGTTGGATGTGACCACCACGACGGTCACCCTTGCTGAGCGACACTAGTCAACAGTAGTGTAGTACTGTTGTGGGCTAGAAAAATAAGCAATCCAACCAGACTGTCTTGTCCACTTGTAGTGCTAAAAAGGGTATCGTTCAATTAGGGATGGTGATAGCCACTCGTTGAAATCAATAGCAGTCTACCACTTTGAAGGGGATTGACTGAAGAGAAGAAATAAGTTGATGGAGGAAGCAATCTTCTCCAACGGGCCCTAACGCTCCTGTCCCAATGTTGTCCACTACGATACAACACTCGTCCACTACAGTACACTTGTACAGTACTACAGTACATTTGTACAGTACTGGACATGTTGTCCAATACGATACTACACTTGTCCACTACAGTACTCTACGTCCTGTCATGGTGGACGACTGAGTTGTTGCGTCAGCCTTGGCGTGTTGCTGGATGGATGGATGGATGGTAGGATGGTGCGCCTATTACTCACTGTACATTGATACAGTTGTCCATTGTACAAGTGTATTATTATTATTATTATTAGGGGAAAATTACCCGGAAAATGAATGATCTACCCTTCTTTAAAGTTTGCATTTAATATTTATTATGATTGGTAGACTCCTGGAGTGGCGGGGTGGGTATTGGTACAGGCCGTTGCTACAGTGCGCAATCAACAACACAGCACCCAGCAAAAGTGTTAAGATGGTGTTACTCCTGTTGTAGACAACAAAGTGGCCTGGACACTATTGACAGTTGGACAACAGTCTACTCAGTGTACTGTACACGGCTGATAGCACTCTTTGGCGATACTGTGTCCAGTCCTGGATAGGTCTGTCTCGCCGTCAGTCTGTATAGAGCCAGCACAGCGCTAGTCGAGGACTACTTGATTTCATTTTTCAGAGTTTTCATACTAAAATCAGCCTATTTCGTCATACAGTGAATCCCTACTTATGTTGTAGATAACAAAATGACCTCTACAACGTACAGTACACCATTTACAGTTGGACAACAGTCTATTCAGTGTACACGGGTGGATAGCACTCTTTGGCGATACTGAGTCTAGTCCTGGGTAGGTCCGTCTCGCCGTCAGTCTGTATAGAGCCAGCAGAGCGCTAGTCGAGGATTACTTGATTTCATTCTTCAGAGTTTTCATACTAAAATCAGCCTATTTCGCCATACAGTGAATCCGTTTGACCGTCAGGAATACCGTATATTAAATTAAGTCATTCCTGTAGTATGAAAATGATGAAAAAAGACGTTGAGTAGTCCTTGCCAATACAATATCGCTATCAGCTGGATCAACTCTGTGGCCAACAGACGCCATGTCATTTCGGCTCTCTTTTACAGAATGCAGTACAGTGTATAGTGTACAGTACAACAAACAGACCATGTACTGTACACTGTACAGCAAGTGACTTCCCTATCCTGTACAGCTACAGTATACTGTACTGTACACTGAGTATACAGTACTGTACACTCACTAGTAGACAGTAGTACTCTATTTGAATCATGATATTGATACTTTGGTCTACTGTATGCAGTATCACTTTATTGGAGATATTCACCTTGGAGTCAGAATGGCGGACTAGCTTACGATTGCTTGACAACAAAGTTACTTGAAAGCTGAAATAGTTTTAATGCATCAGGAACAGCAGTTTCGGCTAAATGCACGAAGACAGGACTACTATATCACTAGTCGATGCTGGTTGATAACGTATCGATAGTCCATGTCACGAAGCATTTCCTTTCAAACACCGGTATAACCTTACTTATACAGGCAGTTTTAGTTTATCATGAGGCCATCATTTTGATGCTGGTTGATAAAGTTTCGATCGTCCATAACACAAAGAATTTCCTTTCAAACACCGGTATAACCTTACTTATACAGGCATTTATCAGGCAGTTTTACTTCATCATGAGGTCATTATTTTGATGCTGGTCCATAAAGTATCGATAGTCCATGACACGAAGAATTTCCTTTCAAACACCGGTATAACCTTACATATACAGGCATTTATCAGGCAGTTTTACTTCATCATGAGGTCATTATTTTGATGCTGGTCCATAAAGTATTGATAGTCCATAACACGAAGAATTTCCTTTCAAACACCGGTATAACCTAACTTATACAGGCAGTTTTAGTTCATCATGAGGCCATCATTTTGATGCTC